GGCGGGGAGGCTGAATCAGCACCGGGCGGCCCCGGCCCAGGCCCGGCCCCGTGCACGCACCGCGCTGGGGCCCGGCTGCTGCCCTCGAGCGCTTTACTACTGTCTCCGGGCTCGGCTCAGCTCAGCCGCTGCCCCCTGCCGGCTCCCCGCTCCGGGGCGGGGAGGCAGGGCAGCGATGCCAGGGCTGAAATCCGAAGTGATCGGCTTTGCTGAAAGTGTGCAAATAAATCGCCGTCTTCTGTACTTGATCTTGCTCCCTGTGACTGGCCAGTGAGGGCATGAGAACTGGGTCTTCAAAGTGGAAGCGTTGTTTTATTTGGAGTCACGAGATAGCGCCAACGGTGAACCCCAAAGTCAGTTAAGACTCCCTGAGAGTGACGTGGGTTTTGCCTGTGCTGCATCAGTGAGCTGCCTCAAATGATCTGGCGTTTTGAGCGCTTTTCCTACTGTTGATTTTACAAGGGTTGAAATTGTCATATAAATACAGGGCCGGGCATGGATACAAAGAGGGCCCAAAAATGGTGGTGGTGGTATTTATTATTATTATCATCTGTAGCGAAGGGGGGCCCCAATACTAAAAGTTGGCCAGGGGGTGCCTGGAGTCTAGGTACAGTGCTGTATAAATAAGATAGCACTGCTAGGAGTACAGTAACTGGAGCAGGGTGCTGCTGCTGGCTCCAGGTGCCTTTGCACCTGTGGCATGGCCCAAACTTGGTGCCTCTCCTTCTGCCACCTTGCCTTCTCCCTCCTCCACCACATGAAGCCTGCCAGAGGTGGGCACTCCCTTTGCTTCCCAAGCTGGTGGATTCCCCCCACAACCATGTGGGTGAGAGACAGCTGTCTGCAAAGGACCTGTTGCTAAGGCCCCCACTGGTTTTTTTTCCAACCATTTTGCTGGAAATGAAACTGCATGAGACTGACAGTGTTTTATAGAGGCAGGATGCTGGCTGCCCAGGTTGCCCTATGTAGCAGGCTCAGGAGTTCAGTCTCTGTTAACAGTGTCGGGGTTGATGGCAGTTTTAGGAGGAGTTTTGATTTATGGTTTAGATAGGAATGACCCTGCCTCAGGCAGGGGATTGGATTTGATGACCTCTGGAGGTGTCTTCCAACCCAACCCACCTGCTCTATGATGTGGGAACTTGCAAGCAGATGTTTTACACTAGCTTTTTTTTTCTTTTAAGTGGTACGGTAATCTAGAGTTGACAAACGTGTGCAGGATTTTAAGAAAATGTGCTTTAAATTCACAGTGAACGTAAGGCTGGTGGTAATGCAGGGTTCTTGCATCTAGATCCAAGCGTCTTGTAGACCAGGGGAGATGCCATATCGGAGTGCTCACAGTCCTCGTACCTATGTTTAAGAAAAATAAATTGTTCTTCTGCTTCTGTGTATAGCACTTTTTTGATGGCACAGCAGAGTAAAATCAAATTAAATTGATTGTTTCCTTATGTTGACTTTTTAGCCTTTTGAATTAAGTGTGGAACTGTAGGTGTAGGACACTTTACTTTTCCTCTCTGTCATCCAGCTCTGTAAGGTTTGTTCTTTGTACACCCCAAGCAGAAGGGAAAGATTCTATTTCTGGCTTCTCTTTCACCCTTGTTTAATGGTGTTAATGAAGTGCTAAGCTGGTCACTGAATGTTGCTTCTGCTGACTGCCCTATGTGGAGGAACAGAATAAGAGAGAAAAGTAGATGTGAGATGAGAAGGAGAGAGGAGAACTAAGAGACAAAGGAAGTGCTGCCAATGGCTTAGTGACATATTGGCATATGAAATGGAGCTCCATTGTGTCCCTTTATGGAATGTCGAGGACTTGGATATATCTTGTATTATTTTAGCAGCCATTTTCTTAAGGGATTTGCCTCAAATCTGATCCATCAGCCACAAGAAAGATTGCTATGATGATAAAATCTTCATGGACTTGGAGCTGAAGGGTGGGATGAGCAGAAAGATTGTGAAAGGTCTTTCTCATTGTCAAGAGGAGGAAGGGAAGCTCTCTTTTTTTGTTTTTTTGTTTTGACTGGATTGGACCATAAAACCTGTTCTGTCTTATGAGCAAGTGATAATCCTTTCCCATCCCCACAGAAGATTCCTCAGGGATCCAACTTCCATATCTTTTAACAAGCAAATCCAAAAGATCGGAGGAAACAGACAAGTGGAGAAGCAGAAATATAAGATGAGCAACTTGACTTTGGTGAAGAAGCTTGTAACTCAGTTTTGTTTCCTATAACAATCTGCCTATTCATCTACTGTTTGGTAGTAATCTTTCAGTTACAGACCTTTGGAGAGGTGATCCATTCTAGACAGGAACAATGCTTGAATTATACCTAAAAAAATAACATTCTGTAGATTTGCCCATTGTCTACCTAGATGCCTAGAGTAGTAAATGACTTGAATAAACATACAGCTTCAGTCTTCCATTTCCTAAACACACATTGGGACATACACAACATAAGGCTTCATGGTATTGTTAACTTCCCACACTCCACATGTTGTATTCAACCAAGTGAAATGGACTGCTGCCAGTCCATTCATAATATTTGATGAAATGCGTTGTTACCTACAAAAACTTCATGTCTATGAACGAGTTGGAGCAGGGTGTCACCTTTAAAAACTGTCCTATCTTCTGCCTGATTTAGATTAACACAGCTAATAACCACCTCTGTGGACATACTGTACATATCTTTCCTTAGAACATGGATTTCCAGTGTAATGGTCATACACTTCAATTTTCTTACTTTTGTATAATACTGGACCACAGCTGCATGGTTGAAGTGAAAAACATGTCTTCACACAATACAGTTAAAGCTTTGTAATTATAGCAGCTGGTAGAGGCTCATGGTTGTCTCTCTACTGGTTCAGTGCGTGCGTTTTGGTCGGACCGTACACCCCAGTGAACTGTGTAGTTTGTCTAGTTCTTCTGACTATTTCCATCCAATTCTTTGTAGTAAAGGCATCCAAAAATACTGCTCACATACTGCTGTATACTTCTCTGAATAGGGTTAGTAAGGACAGCTAGATAGAATAGCTCTCCAAACGTTTCTTAGAGAAAAATAAGCGGAGTACTCAATGAAGGCATATAAATGGTTGTGATAGCAGAAAAGCTGTTTGCACAGAAACCAAATCATGTTACTTGTAACCAGTTAAGGTGATTTGTTTTTAACTAGGTAAAACAAACATGTTTAATGGTTGTGTTGTGTGTAGAGCACTCACATTTTTTTCTCACTTGAAGTTTTTTTTTAAATGAGCAGAAGAAAATTGAGGGCAAGGGGTTATGTATTCCGACCAGAGCTAGACATCTTACCTCATAAAAATGAATGAAGTGTGTGGAAGTAGAGGTCATAACTTTCAAAATAGCAAGAAGGCTGCTGTTTGTTTGCCTGCCAGCAGGGTACTTTAGTTTAATTTGGTTTGGTTTTGGGGATGTGGGGGAGGCTTTTGGATGCTTATCAAGGAAGGCTCAGCAGAACTGAAGGAGAAAAAATAGGAGTAAAATGGTTATGTGACCCCTGCTGACTTGACTCAAGTTCTTACCTGGTATTTAGATGCAAGTCCCATGCTGTCCACACACAAGCTCTTACTTTGATTTCTATGGTCTTTGAACATATGTCCTTAGCTGGGTAAGCAAAATTACAGCATTGATTTCATTAATGCAAGCTCTTAACTCCCCTACTTTGCAGTGAGGATGCAGTTGAAGCACAGGTTATAGAATTCAAACTGGAACTCCTCCAGTGCCTTTCCATAGTTCTCCAGGCATAATAGCCTTTCTGTTTGCTTCCAACTTTCATCCTAGGCACCAGAAACCACCTGTGGCTTATGTACACTTGGTCAACATTTAAATGTCTTGCTTCATACTACCAGCTCCATTTTTGTACAGATCAGCTCACCTCCACCTTTATGCACTAATGCCCTGGAGACCCTCATCCCAGCGTTCTGCTATCTTGCCAGATGATTGCAACATGGTTCTGATTGTCCTCTGATGTGAGTGTATGAAGGAATGTGACTTCGGGAAATGTACCTTGAAATGCTCTCATAAAGATGCTGCTTTAAAAGAAGCTGGAGGAAGAGGGCATCAGGTGGATGGCAGCCCCATGTTGGGTGTAAACTAAAGGCTGCAAAGGCACTTATTGCAAGGATGCCAACTAAATAATATATAGCATGTCCTTGTAGTGGACATGGGGGGACAGGTGGATGGGGAGTTAATTCCTAGGGCAATGTGGAGTGTTCTGTCAAAGCTTGTTATCGTGTTTGACAGACTTTTAAGGCAGCAGGGTCTGATTATTAGATGAGGAAATAACAACTGGAGGCAGCAGAGGAGGGAACCTTGGTAGTGGGGGACGCACGGATCAGAAATGGACCTTGGACCTGGAACAGGCCATGTGGCTAAAAGATGCTCTCGGACCAAATTTCCTGGCTGTTCTTGGTGATAGCCCCCAGGAATGGATCGGAGAGGAAACCAGCATCAAAGCCAGAGCCAGGTAAGACAGCCACTACTTTTGTTGTGGAAGAAATTGCAACGTAAGTGACAGGGTTGTGCTGTTTTATAATCAATCCAATTATTGTTATGGATGGTATTCCATGCTATGGAGTAGCTTTGTCTGCAATTGAAAGTAGAAGCTGTTCACTTTCCTGGCTTCCTTGTCTACCCTCTCCCACCATATATTATCCAAGATGGGCTCCAAGCAGAGAAAAAAAATTAAGTGTACACCTAGTGCATTATTCCCATTAAGACATGTAATAGGTTGCTGCTGTCACATTTATTCAAAGTTGGGATTTCAGGCTTAACAAGCATCTAGAATCCAAATGCTGGCTCCACTTATAACTGTTATAGAGTTAGTAGCATTTAAAGTGATGTCCCATATAGAATGTATTACAAGTCTTCCTGGCAGTATTGAGTGGAAAAGTGCCTTGGTGCTTGGCCTCCTTTATGTTCTTGGGTCTCAGTATACTGTTATGATGGGGTTGAAAAACCCTGGAGCTTGTTCAGATATCTGCTGCTGGTTCAGCTTCCTGTTAATGTTTCATAATTTCTGGCAAATAGTGCTTAAGAATTTCTGGTACAGGAGAAATTCAAGACAGTCAGTGAGATTCTTGGGCAAAGGAATCTTCCCAGGCCAGCCCCTCTACTTACTAACCTTCTCTGGTCATTCAGATGTTTATTAGTTATCATCCAATAAAATAGTGGGTTGATGCATACAGATAATGTTTCTGGACTTCCCACAGAAAACTCGTATATTTTGCAGTCTGGGACCTCCAGCAAATTAACATCCTCCAGTGCTACTGTTGTTGATAAGAGACCACTGATCTAATGGCCAACCAGAGCCACAATGCTTTTACAAAAATTTAAAAAAGAAAAAATAAATAAGTATTTAATTGACTCTGTGAACTGGTAAACTGGAATATAGTTGTTGCTAAACAAGTAGATGTGTAGAGATGAGCTAAAAGATGTGAAGTAATGAGTATCATTTTGTGGGCTTGTAACAGAACTGCATCTGTCTCTTTACATTCTTTCTTAAATATAACTTCCTATTTCATTGTTTTGGCAGGAGCTTCCACCTCTGCGGAACCAATTCAGATCCTCCATGCTTCTTCTGGAGAAAACCCTAAACCTACAGGTGATGGGGGGGAAAAGAGGATCAGGGACAACCAAGGAATGCGGAATGACTTTTGGCAGAGCTTAGATAAGCATCTGAAGCTGTTGAAGTAACAGTTCCTAACTCCTCTACTTGCAGCAGATGAAGACCAAACTTACTGCGGACTCCCTCGAACACTATTGTCAGCTACAAAAGGAATGGTTGTTTTGGCCAGCAGGCTGTAAACTTATATTCCATGATATCGCATGTCAAATCCACAGTGGACACTGGATGATTCTGCTGGCAGTCAGTCTGTGCACTCCTGGAATGGAAGCGTATCTGGGAAGATGTACTATGTTATTTCACACTCTGTGCTTCCTTCAAGTAAAGTGAATAGATGAGCTGCTGATGTGCAATTTCAGTATTTGGGTGATGGCACGGATTGGGGCAGGTAACGTGGTGTTATTGTCTGGCATCTGAGCTGCCTGTTTTGATTCTTGGAGTATTCTTGTACTGTTTGGGTATTCCAACTTTATAATAAAAATGTTTGGCTATAACTTCCTGTCTCAGATTTTCCCCAAGTACTTGCATGATGCTATAGCAGCAACAAAGGTTTTAACAGGACATTCAGTCCAGAGTGGAAAAACTTGTATGTGTATAGAAGCATTACATAGCATCATATTTCTCCGTTCATTTTCCCTTTGCAATGCAAATATATAGGCATACAAGATGCACTGTTACTTCTGTTATTGTCCTTGACTCATTCTCAGTTTATCAGAGGTGCATTCTTCTATCTGCTTGTACTGGATGGCAAATGAATAGTGTCCATTATCTTCATAAGTGTAATGCAGAATGCCAAAATAATATCAAAGGCATTGGGCTTAGCAGCATTTGAATGGGTCTGTAGGCAACAATGTTCTTGCTTTCTGTCGCCCAGGTGTGTGTTTTATTGGTCACAATTGTAATGAAACACACCAGTATTCTATCTGCTGTTCTTTTCTTGATGTGCAACTTAATTAGTCAGGGCACAGAAACAGTGGTGATGCCCTTATTCCTCCCAAATATGGTTCCTTCTTGTCCAAACAAACAAGCAGCAGATCTTCTAAACACCCTGCTGTCATGCACATTACGAGTTCATCTCATGATGGCATTTAGAACTTGTTTATCATTAGGCAGGCCTTAGTCAACCTAAAAAATTAGTATCCGTTCTTGTTCCTTTGCTTGTAATAGTCAGATTTGTGGTCCAAATAGCACCACTACAGTTTAGAAATCCCAGCTGTTGTTGTTTCAGAAGTTGTTGTGGTTTACCTGTGGGTACAGGATGCTGCTATAGCAATAACCTCACAAAGCAATGTGTCTCCGTCAACAGTTGGCTGACCAACACCAAACTGGTTAACTGCCTACCTGTAACAGTCTGAGGTGGACCGTTTCTGGTAACAAGCCTGTTTGTGGTCTGAGACGGCTTTCATCATCCACATATCTGGTGCTGTAGTGTCAGGGCAAGCCCCCAAACTGTAGTCATCTTCCTCATGTGGATGCAGGTTATAAAATGTCTTTCCTCTCTATGCTTGGGGTCCCTTCTCTGGAACTGCTGGTCAGCATAGAGGGAATATACAGTGAGCACAACTACCATTCTGCCATGTAAACATACATGGTTTTCTTGCCCAGAGATGCTTCCACCTTCTGAGTGTCCTCCACTACTTTTTAATTTTCTTTGTCTGCAATTTGCTGTGTAAAACAGTGAATCCAAAAGCAGACATTGCTCATCTCATTATGCTGGACCCATGCCCTTTCCACAGCTGGGATAGGTAAGAATGAATGTGCACAGCTAGAACCACTTCTAATCTGCCACACTGGACTAAAACATTTCTACAGGCAAGCTTGAAAAGGATGGACAGGCAGTTCCACAAGCATCGGGTAACAACCAGGAGAGCAGTTTAATTGCTTGGGTATTGAGGACATTGAGGTACACCTTCAGAAATTCAAAGCGCCTTACCACAGCACCCATGTAAAAGCAACTACTCAGGTGCAGCTTGCGGCATGATGTTTGTGGCCTTGACCAGTTTGGGGTAGGCTCCATGTCGACTGCAGTGAAAAGCAGAAAAATGAACATGGTGGGTTTGCTAATCCCATGACTCTTTCAATAACAGCATTAAGTTGTCACGATGAAGTAGCTGACACCATTGGAGTTTGTGCTGCTCCTGGACTGTGGACTTCTTCAGCAAATTTTGATATTTGTTTCAGTAAAATTTTCAGTTGGTCTTAAACTTGACCTGCTCTAAGCCTAGAGGAAATTCAGAGCCATCTGGGAAACTGGTATCATAAAAGAAGCTGGTTAATAGTTATAGATGTAGTTTCTGTTCTGAAAAATTCTGTCTGAAGGTGAGTGACAGACAGTGGGAGAAGGGAAATGAATTGGGCCATCATGTTTACTTTATCAAGAATATATTCCTTCTAGGAAGAGTTCCTGCTCCTACCCTGTCTTCCCCCCTGCTGAGCAGCCTGGTTTGTTCAAGGTCTCTTACCTGACACAGCCCTTGTGTTGTAGACATGAGGTATACAAGTAACAAGTTCTGCTTCACGACAGAATCCACTTTGCTTGCTTGCTCCATAATTTAATTTAATTTCTTTTCTTCACATTTTAGCAAACCTAGACTTCCCTTTCATTTCCTTCCACTCACCAAAGATTAACCAGCACTCAGTCTGCATAGCTATTCACTAAGGAGGTCAATGGGATACTCATGTAAGGGAGGGTTTTGTTGTGTAGTTTATAGGAGATTTTTGGTCTGACGTCTAAATACGTGCTTGCTAAATGTAAATCAAACTGAAAATAAATATGCTTTAGGCTACGAAGGGTCTAATTCAATATTACTGATCATGCCAGATGTAGAATTGTTATCAATTTTAAATTTATGATGAGAAGTACTTGGGTATTTTGAGACATTTCAATATACCATTCAGACTATATATAGATACTGAATAAAGAATTTCAGAAAGTCCTTTAAATTACTTCTAGTTCATTAATTGCTCACCTTTTAGAATTGTGAAAACAAAACCACTGAACTGTAAGTTTTGATGCCATATTACCCAAGTCTAGTACATTAGAGAGTAATACATAAGAGACAATCCTTATCCAATACTTTTTTGTGGTTTTCATTTCTACCAGTAATCCCAGGAAGGATTTAAAAACAAAAACTTGTCTGTCATTCATTATTCTCTAGCTTATGCAGAGTGCTAGAGAACATAAAATAACAGATCACTTGTACAGCATCAGGAGACCAGATGGGGAAAAGAAAATCCATTACCTGTCAAACTTCAAGTTAGAAATGCTGGGTCATGCTTACCGTGCAAAACAGCCACAAATCACACATTAATTCGTTCCCCTAGGTTCAAGATCCAGAAAACATGGAAGAGGAGAAACCCTTATTTTGCAAAATCTCTTGAAAGTTTTCAGATTTTAAAATAAGGGAACAGTAAACTGTAATTTAAAATTCATCCTGAAATGCTTATATTAGACTTCGGGTGGTGGCTACCAATTTGCTAAAAAGTTTATGGGAACAGAACTGTTATCCATTATGTTATGCTAGGGGTTGTCAACTGGGGGTACTTGAAAAGGCCTTAGGGGGTATGTGCAGGTAGGTGGGTGGGGATGGAGTGCTGCCGCACACCATCCCATATTGCCGTGCAGGTGCCACCTGCCTGGCCGGACGTAGGGAGAGGGGGAAGATTGCACGTGGTGGCTGCTGCCACTCCGCATTCAGCTGTGTGCCACCCCTGCACCTTCCCCGCCAGCGTCCTGCCACCAGGGGTACACTGATGCAACAAGGTTGAAAACCCCTGTGTTATGCAATATATCTAATGCCAGCTACTCACTTCTCCTTTTGTCTCTCTTCCACTCGCCCCTATATTTTCACAATAATATAAAACTAAATACTGAACAAACTACACCTGAAGTTCTACCATGAAAGTGTCTAAGCTAATGAGCCTGCCTGTGTGCTGTTTTCAGTTCAAGAGGTGGGATTCAGCACATGGAGCACTGTGGTATGTTTGAGGCATTTATTTTTAGTGGGTTTGTGCAACTATAGAAGCTCAGATATTGTTTCATCTATCGGTGAATCTGATGTTGTTTTTATGTTTAGTTTTGAACATCTGAATTACAACTTCATCTAGTGTCTACATGGTCTTTCTTTGCATCTTTTTAATTCAAAATTCTAGAATTTTTTTCTTTTTCAAGTCTGTGCTTAAGGTTTTTTAAGTATATATCAACTTTTTCTTTGTTTATAGATCTTTTAATGTGTCATACTAGTGCTCAGTAATTATAGAATTATATATTTTATTAGTTGAAAGTAATGCTGATTGTCATTTGTCTTTTGAAATACAATTTTCTGTCCCTTGTGGCCAAATCTGGTTCTTTGCCTAGCCAGAACTTGGATTTATATCAACGATTTGTCCTTTTAAATACAATCATACGGCCCACTGTGTTAATGTCCTTTGAATTATTGTCTTCAATTATTCTTGCATATGGAAGGAAGGGGGTGGGTATTTGTTTGTAAACTAAATTTAAATATTCTCTTATTTCCCTCAAGGTTCATCCTTATTTTAGGGCAGATTATTACAGGAGGTTATTGCTATATTGAGAGACAGTACCTAATCAGGCCAAGTCACAGGACATCACTATTTACTTTGCTGGATTATCTAACTTCTTCCTCTGAGTAAAGACTTAAAACACATGCATATGTCCTCCTATGTTGTTAGAAATATTTCAGAGTATTGAATTGCCCATCTGTGAGTCATAAAAGAAAAAAAGAGAAGAACAAGATATGAACAAAATTATTGGCTCATGGTAAAACAAATTTATGTTCCTGGATGAATGCAGAAAGTAGTTACAGGTTCAAAGGTTTTATTTAAAAAAAAAATCCCTACCCATTATGACCTCTATGGGTGCCTGTACACGTGCAGGGTGCCTGCTCCAATTTGTTTTAATTAGAATATAACAGAGCAGACTCAATTAATTAAACAGCCTTGCTGTCACATGTATTCAG